TATGATATTGCTCACGGTGCGTATTCACCTACCTGGTTTTCACCTTTATTTCTCGTCGACATAGATTTTGCTAATTTTGGTTCATCAAATAGGCCGTTCCTGGTCCATCCAAGAACTTCGGGAGAAGTCGTGGGAAGACCTTCACTGCCTCTGGTGGGTCTGTGTCAAGGAGCGTAATCGCATAGCTACTTCCAATCTCGAGAGACAGCGTTTGAAGGCGGGTTACGGAGAATGGGAAGCCAGTGAAAGAGACAGAACCGTGAGTTTCTTATACCTTTCCCAGTCCAGGCATTCATATTTTTAACTCCCCGCCAATTTGATCTAATGGATACTCAATGACCTGAGTCTGTATCCATCGGTACTGATGCACTAGTTGTTATTCTTCGGAGGTCTCACTAATCTCTCTCCCTGATGATAGATCCGCATTACACAAAATGGCATCAAGCACGTTCTGCGCGAGAGGTGGTACGCTTGGGAAGATGCGAAACGACTTTACAAGAACGGATATCGCCCACAAGACGAGGATAATCAGGAGTAGGTATTGACAACTGGCAGCTGCTCATGCAATGACTTCATGTTGTATGGGGACATGGTTTGCACATGAGGGATATCTCACATGTACTATATTGTAGAGTTGTACTGTTTTCTTTAAATCGGTATTTGTTCATCCCTTGGATTGCGAAAGGGTCGTCGTATATTTAGTCAAGCCATCAATTAGTAGACATCCAAGCACATATTTGTACTCGGCATCTGCTTAAATGTACGTTTGCGTTAGCACGGTGCCAATTTCCGTAGCGCTAATAGTTTAGGTTCCCGGGCGTCTGTAGGTTATTTCAAGCTGTTATGGCCGGAGATTGGGGCGCCATTGAAAAGGGGCAAAGTCAGGACTCAGGAGGTCAGTATTTTATGTGATTTGATTAATTATCAATTAGTTTTCAATCATCGTGGGTCTCATATGCCCATTTAATATGAAGACAGCGAGCGGCGTACTTATCCTCACCCCCTTGTGGGCCCAATCCCATCTGCTGGTCCTTTGGTTGATGATCCGCGGGGGGCTTCCAGCAGACTAGCTCTTCGACCACCACGACTAAACTATCTGCTAACTACAAACTCACCGCAACATTCAGTGTCTCCGTATCCTTCCTCTCTCCAAATTTATCTTCTCTCAATCTCACGCGACTTCCATTCCTCCTTGCTTATTTTATTGCTAGTGTTTTGCACCCGTTCTGACCATTCATCATGGAAGAGATTGCCCCCGAGTATGATGTTGTAGTGCTCGGCACTGGTATGTATTACCCCGCCGTTTGACAGCTGTAGTGCTAAAGCCCCTCGCAGGGTTGACGGAGTGTGTGCTTTCTGGGTAGGGACATTGATAAGATTTATCTTCTCGGCCTGAAGGATAGAGAACTGATATTGCGTGCAGTGTTCTCAGTGTCAAGGGCAACAAGGTGCTCCACATTGATCGCAACGATCACTACGGAGGGTAAGAACTGGGGTAGCTACCCGATCAACCACGTCCCATCCTACTGACACGATATTTAGAGAAGCTGCTTCCGTGAACATTGAAACTGTAAGTCTGTCGTTCAGTCAGTCTATTTTGACATCTGCTGATGCCTTGTCTGTTTTGTACAGCTATTTAAGAAATACGGCAACGTCCGCCCCGGCGATGAACCCTGGAAGAAGTATGGACGAGTCAACGATTGGAATATTGATCTGGTCCCAAAGCTGCTGATGGCAAACGGTGAACTCACAAATATTTTGGTTTCCACGGATGTGACGAGATACCTTGAATTCAAGCAGATTGCTGGCAGCTATGTCCAGCAAGGAAAGGGCCCAAAGGCTACTGTGGCCAAGGTGCCGTCGGATGCTGGTGAAGCTCTACGTTCATCTCTCATGGGCATGTTTGAGAAGAGAAGAGCTAAGAAGTTCCTGGAGTGGGTCGGTGAATTCAAGGAGGACGACCCCTCTACTCACCAGGGTTTGTCTCTACAATGTAGCATCTATTTCAATTGCTAATATGCAGGGCTCAGGTCTGAACGTCGCTCAGTGCACAATGAAGGAGGTTTATGACAAGTTCGGACTCGAGGACAACACCCGCGACTTTGTCGGTCACTCCATGGCGCTTTTCCCATCTGACGAGTATATCACAACATCTGGGATGGCCGTCGAGACCATCCATCGTATCCGACTGTACGTCAACTCCATGGCCCGGTACGGAAAGTCCCCGTACATCTACCCTCTTTATGGTCTGGGTGAGCTCCCTCAGGGATTTGCTCGTCTGTCTGCCATTTACGGTKGCACCTACATGCTCAACACCAGCGTCGACGAGGTTCTATACGACGAGAATGGCAAGGTCTCTGGAATCAAGGCAACCATGAAGGATCGTGAGGATAATAGTGAGGCCATGAAGTTCACCACCAAGACAAAGAAGATCATCGCGGACCCATCTTACTTCCCTGGCAAGGTTCGGGTCACTGGGTATCTCCTGAAGGCCATCTGCATCCTGAAGCACCCCATTGAAAAGACCGATGGCAGCGACTCGCTGCAGCTGATCATCCCTCAGTCTCAGGTTGGAAGGAAGCACGGTGAGTGGACCTGGTTGGACTCTGCTGGATTCAAGGCTTTACTGACCAGAACTAGACATCTACATTGCCATGGTGTCATCCGCCCACAATGTCTGCCCCAAGGGCTACTACATCGCCATTGTCTCTACTATTGCTGAGACTGATGCAAACCACCACCTGGAACTGGAACCCGGATTCGAGCGTCTGGGCCAGATAGAAGAGAAGTTCTTTGGTCCTCCCATTCCTCTCTATGAGCCTTTGGAGAGTGGCGAGAAGGACAACATCTTCATTTCTAAGAGCTACGATGCTACCTCCCACTTTGAGACAACAACAGGTATGACATCAGTGAAGATTTCCGCCGTGTCACAGTTGCTAATGGTCAAAACAGACGACGTGCGGGACCTCTACAAGCGGGCCACAGGTGAAGAGCTGGTTGTTGAGGGTCTTCGGGAGGACCAGAGACTTGCGGAGGATTAGACGTGAGGGTGCTTTAGCCCAGCATGAAGCTTCAATAATATAGTGTCGTGTTTGGATATTGTTGAATTGGGCCGTAATATCTTTTGGATTCCTGTTCGTCATTGCCATCCACCATGAACCATTAGCATTCGGGAATGCTCACACTCGCATTGCTTCTGGATATCTTGACAGGCTGTGGTAGTGCACACCTGGACCCCTGGCATATGTTGAAATTCAGCACGGTCTTGCGGGCCAAATTCTTGGTCATAATTGCTGTGAATAGGCTGGAAATGAATTGGTTATAATACTTTAGTCTGGCAGTAAGGGAATTGATTCTCGTCAGAGCCAAGTTTCATGACCCCAATCTATCTCTAGCACCCAGGAATTTCGATGATAGTACATAATACTAACAAGGTATCTATATATGTCCGGGACAAATGGAGAACGCACATCATATCTTCCTGCTCGATTCCGGGTCCGTATTCGCCTTCTCATGCTCCCCCAGCACACAGAGATCGCCATTATCGGCCCTTGAGATCTCCGCACGCAAAAGCGCCAACCGGCGCCCCGTATGAATAACTTGACATACCAGTCGTATCTCCGTGTTCGCCGGCACGGGGCGCAGATAAGTGACCTTGAGATTGCGACTGACGCCACCGAGGGAGAAGAAACCTGGTTTCGAGATGCCCAGGAGGATAGCGGTGGAGAGGACATCGATGATCGTGGCGGCGCACCCGCCGTGCAGATTACCCAGGAAATTGCACAGTTTAGGGGCTACGGTGAGAAGGTATGAGACTTGTGCTGGGGGGCCACGGGTAGCGGATTCGAAGCGGAGATTGCAGGCGCGGGGATCAAAGTCCCAATGCTGGACGTTTGGTTAGACTTCGATCTGGGGTTATTGAGAGGTGAAGGTCATGCTATACCTCCTGATCATGTTGGCCCATCCGTGCGGAGTACTCATAGACGAGCTCCTCGAATTGATCCAGGCTTCTGGATGGTGGTTTAATCGATGAGGACATGATTCCAAGTCTAACGGTGAAATTAGAGTGAGAAACGAGACGATGCCGGGAGATTGTGCTGATTCCTTTTATTCTTAAAGAGACTCTTCTCTGGCTACGATGACAGCTTAGATATCCAATACGAGGGGGATGGATATAACCGAGGTTGGCGGTTGTAGTCAGTCGGTCTTGAAGGGTTCTCACGCATCGAGTGTCATTTGAAGAGAACTATTGGGATACATCACAGACATCTGCTTTCTCTTCCAGCAACCCATGACACCCCTGCACTCTCTTCGCTGTCTGTTATTAATGGCAACCAAGTACGCCGTAGGATTCCATGTACAATATAGCGTCATGTACCAGGTGCTTTATACTCGGAAACTTGATCATTCACAACCCTCAATGAGCGAATTTTAAGTCATTGAAATGTCGAGTTAATCAAGATAGCTCGAACAATGTCAGGCTTTCTCCTAGAATAATGTTTTTGCTCAAGTAGTTTGGCATTGAATATTCGTGTGGCACAGAGAGATTCACCTGATCTCGTGTCACGCGTTTTGCCCAAATCACGATATCATTGTTGTCATCGCGGCAAGACAATTTTGAGATCTATTGGGATATACTCAATTGACCACATCAAAACACAGTGCGTACAGTCCAAAATATTAACCTCGTACGTGGGAGTGTATCCCAGCGTTTCATGTTGCTTACCTCTAATATCGATCTGCCTACCTAGGTGATTCGGTCGCAGTCCCGTCGGAAAGCTTTGTCCGCCTAAGCGGTCTATTCTTGGTTTTGATGTGTCGCATCGGCGTCAACACTGGCCATTGACCTCCGACCAAAGCTCAATGTCTGTCTAATGCTTGAGGAGATTTTACTTCGACCAATGCCCGAAAGATAGTAGCCTGCATCGCAGCAGTTTCGCCCTCCCTTCCCTCCGGTTTGACATCCCTTCCAAACACTACCGAGGACTCGACAGCACGAAATGACGAATGCACGAGCGGCGAAGAGGAGGAGGTTGTCCGACATACAGTCTGCAGACCAGGACGGTGATATTCAGATGCGAGATGACAGTGAGGATCTTCAATCAGTTGCATTATCACCGACCGGGCAGGGCGAATCCCCAGCTGCTTCGAAGACATCTCGAAAACAATCCTCAAGGGCCGAGCCAGATGCGGGTGGGGACACAGCCATGAATGGGACGGCAGACAACTCCGCGAACGTGGAGACTCCCTCGCGGAGTGGCCTTCGATCGAGCGGACGTCAACGGAAGCCACCGCAGAGATACGAGGAAGAAGTTCTCAGCACTCCGTCGTCAGTGAGGAGGACCAGATCATCTGCCGGGCCGTCTGAACGAACGCCACGAAGCACAAGGAGAAGTAGATTGGTACCGGGGACAGAAGAGGATGAGGGGAACTCACCGCAGCCTCAGAAGGGAGGACTAGCCAGAACGAGGTCTAAGAGAGCTTCCGTCAGATACGCTCCCCCAGAGAAGCATGAAGAAGAAGATCAACCTGAGAGCCGACAACAATCGCTACAGTCTCCGACTCCAGAGGATTATCAAGATGGATTGGACAACCTTGTTTCGATGCAACTACAGCAAGACGTCACTCACCAGGATGCGATCGAGAAAGACGACAGTATGGTCGCATCCGATTCTCTGCCCGACTATGCGGAACGCTTCCAGAGGCTTGTTCAGGGAGGTCTTAATGAAGAACTACAGCTTCTCACAAAAGTGCTTCTCGAAAAGCTCAATGGAAAGCAGCTCGTTCCGTTGAAAGGGCTAGAGAATGAATACACCAAGGTGCGTCAGCTCATTGAGCAAACAGTCACCGCTGGCGAAGGTAACTCAATGCTGCTCCTTGGGTCTCGTGGCTGCGGCAAAACCGCCATTGTGGAGACGATAATATCGTCGCTGAAAAAAGAACACATGAACGAATTCCATGTGGTTCGACTCAATGGCTTTCTACATACAGACGATCGACTTGCGCTCCGGGAGATGTGGCGCCAACTCGGTCGTGAGACCAACACCGAAGAAGAGGCAGGCAAAGTCAGTACCTACGCCGACACGATGGCGACTCTACTTGCTCTTCTATCTCATCCAGAGGAATTATTCGGTCCTTCTGGGAACCCGAAGGCCGTCACGGCGGCCAAGTCCATCATCATCATTCTTGATGAGTTTGACCTGTTTGCGACTCATCCCCGACAGACCTTGCTCTACAATCTATTTGATATCGCACAAGCTCGCAAAGCTCCGATCGCTGTGCTGGGGCTTACCACGAAAGTCGACGTGACCGAGATGTTGGAAAAGCGTGTCAAGAGTCGATTCAGTCATCGATATGTCTACGTTCCACTTCCCAGAAGCTTCGAAACTTTCTCGGAGATCTGTTTTGCGGCGTTGAACTTGGAGGACAGTGAGAAGCAATGCTTTTTTGACAACGTCGATCCCGGGAAGGGGAACACACTATTGGATGGGTGGAGGACATATCTACAGGTACACTCCTTTCTGGGTCAAGTTCGCTTGTCAGAAGATACTAACCCACATCTGATAGGGACTCTGGGCCGACGAATCGTTCAATCACCATCTACAGAGGATATACCATCAGACAAAATCTGTCAAAGAATTCTTCACAAGTGCCCTACTGGCGATGACTGAGTTGCACTACAGCACTTACGACTCCTCATTCGGAATTCCAACACCCAAGACCTTCAGCGGCCAGGCTTTATCGTGTCCGGATCCTGCTCCCCTTCCCTTCTCTACGTCCACGACTATCTCCGCAAGCCCGTCATCTCTTCCGCTCTCGCTTCTGCTGGCCGCGACCCGTCTGACAGCGCTGTACGACCCAGGCGTCGAAGCCGGTCAGCCTCAGAATCTAGCCCCACTTGCACTGTCCTTCCCCGCAGCATATGCGGAATATATCCGACTGTTAACATCCGCTAAGACGTCTGCTTCGGTATCTGGTGCGACCGTCACTCCTGGTCGTGTCTGGGGCCGAGATGTGGCTCGAGAAGCATGGGAAAAGCTAGTCAGCTGGGGTCTGATCAACCCTGTCGGCGGGGGAAGTGGAACTGCAGATGGACGGATGTTCCGGGTCGAAGTCAGCTTCGAGGAGGTAGTTGCCATGGCGGGATCCGGTGGCTCACTAGGGAAATGGTGGCGTGAGTGACACCATCTGCTGTCACTTGCCACGTTTGTGAAACCACCTAGCTTAATGATTGTTGTGTGTTGTATGGCGGGGATGATAAACACGATATCACATGGCACCATGTTGCGGGGACAGGTCGAAGCCAATCACAGGCTATCTAGCGATATCTCGTCGTCGACATTGTCCAGATAATCTGCAACTATGAAACAAGTCCAACGTCCGTGCAATAGAGCTCGGGAAACCCCCGTGCGGCACCTGAGTATTTCTATCTCGGCGCTACTGGGATACAAGTTAGTGCCAATATGTCTTCAGGCAGCAAGCTAGTCTAGACCCTGCCTCTTTGAATCGACCACTTGTACGGAGTCTCCGCAGTCTAGCCCAATATCTGTAAGATGATCAGCGTCATGATCAGCCAAAAACGTGCAGGATTGCATACTATGTTCTTCATGATAGTCCTGAGATCGAATAGATACTAGTGATATTCCTTCTGGTTGCCCAAGGAGTCTGACCAGAGTGAGTGCCATTGTGCGTTGTCTCAGAACGCCTTGATATCCCGACTTAATCGTATATACCCGAGGGGTAAAGCAAGACTATATGAAGAAGCGACGCAAATCTGGCATTAGACACCATACAGACGCAGTTGATGCTTGGTCTAGGTAGGGATCGTAGCCGAACTAGGAAGGCAGATTGTACGCGGACAGGGTCTGTCACAATAAGCTTGTCTTCAATGATCAGGTATCCTATGATCTAATCATCTATGCAATATATTTCACCTGAAGAATGCTATCAATCTAAAACCGGGGAGGGCGAGTCTCGCATTCGATGCCCAACGTAGCACTCCGCAATCGAGTTGGAACGCCAGTACGGAGTACGTATGCACGTGGGATAGAGTCAACAGATCATCAGCAGCGGCGGCACGTTGAAGATCACCTAAGACAATCCAGGAAAGACGTAGCCAGCTATCTCCGAAAAGTCCGAAGGAAGACACTTCAAATCCCGTTCTGTCGCGGCCATCAATCACAGGAATAGTGCACGGAGTACGGAGTACTAGGGACGGTATATCCCCTGACATGGGCACAGCGTCACGAGCCATACAGTCATGCTACCTATGACGAAGCTGCTCTGCATTCTGCAAGAGTCAACTGAAATTGGATGTCACAGTCTCCTTGATAGCGGCCAGTCCAGGTCCAGGACTGCCCCCCTGAATATTGCAGTCTATCGCGAATCGGACGAATCAGGATCTCGCCAGGGCAGACACTAATGCATGCAATCACGGCGGAGGGTACGGAGTACGGGGTTCAGTTCGATGCCGTGAGTACCAATTCTTTGCACCTATGCGCAAACATACTGTGTTAAGCATCGCAGTCGGGAAGTTCGGATGCTGGGAAGGAGGTTCAGCTTTCGGAGCTGTACTCTGTAGCACTTTCAGAAGAGCTGCGGATAGTTGTAGTGGCGACGCCGGAAATCAGATTGGGGAGCGAATCCGTACTTTTGAAATGTAGTTTCCGCTCCTGGCGCTCTGTTGATTGTTCTGCGACGGACCCTTGTACTAGTGTGGTCGGTAACATCGATTCTTCAAGGTTTATTTAGCTCGTCTCTGACCATACAATGGACTTGAAGAATCAAGATGTTAACTCCGCAGTTGAAACCACACAAAGTACAGTTCCAAAATAATGAGAGAGAAACATTGAAGGCGAGCTTGGCGATGGTGGTTGGCAGATGAGTTGACGACGCCTCAKAATGGTTCGATCAGCAGACACCTAGCCGTAGTATATAATACCCCAGGGGGCAATTTGCATGACTTAGATGTAGATTAAGTGCAGCTGAAACTATAGTCCTTGACGTCTAACCTACTAGAGGTACTGAGTAATAGATAGAGCTGCCAGTCTGTTCATTATGTGATGGTCAACCTGCGCTCTTTGCATCTTTGAGTGTGGTGCAGAGGCAAATATCCCCAAGTTCCTTCGCCCTCTTGCAGGTGTGTGATGTGTATAACCTCCCGGCCATGTGGACAGGAGATGAAAGTATACTAGGCCCGAATTGGTATGACGAGAAGAGGCCGCTAGCGTGGTGAAAAAGGCTTAGTGGGGCAATCGATCGGCCCAGAATTTTGATTTGCCCTCGAGGCTGTTTTCGCGTGGGTTTACAAGGATCAGTGGTTGTGGCATTTTTCCTTTCTTTTTCCCTCCCTTTATTCAAATATGCTGTACACATATCATTTTCTGGGGCTATCATCCATGCTTTCCCTGCCCCCTTGCTTCTGCAGAAATCCAGGCGTACGTAGAATGTAAAGGCAGTTCGAGTGTCAAGACTGTGTATCAGCCGTAATCGACAATACCTAACTTACCTAGCTTTGGGTGCAGTTCATCCAGACTTGCCCAATTTTTGGACACGGAGAACTCCGTTACCCATAGGATGATGTCAGATACGAGGTAAAATAATAGACAAAAAGTTGCTATGTATGAAATCTGTCCGATGAAATTCCCCACTCAACCTAGTTTGTTCTCGTGTTGTTTGAGACTCTCTGCATTAGTGCCTCCTTTTATTTCCAGAATTTGGTAAGTTTCTGTTGCCGCTTTACCTTATGGGATAGATTTGGTAATGGTTGCATTGCATATTGACCACGCTACCTTACAGAGGTAATGCCAATACCGTACAGAACTCTCCTGGTATTTCATAGTTACTGCGTGACATTGCAGAGTTCCGATTACCGCCTTCCGGAAGATCAGCCACGTGTGTCTCCAGCCAGCGTGTTTTCGGAGACTGATCAAACTCCGCCAGTTTCCCTATCGTCCAACCTTATCCTTCGGCGTCGGTGTCTCGGAGACACCAATTGCGTTTGGATCAAATCCGAACGACCCTCTTTTTTTTTTCCTTCTTGTGTTTGCCTTCAAGGAACGGGATCCAAAACTGGACTGGAACCGCTGATCTTCATATTATCTTATGTTGGGCTTTTTTGATCATTATTGTGGCATTGATCGACAGATGGGGAAAACTGATACGTCAAGTCTTCCCTCTCGTCGATCGCGAGAGATTTCTCCGCAATCACAACGACCCTTGAGTCTTGTAGTGTTTACGTAGGTAGTTATCCTTTACCCCTTACGTTCTGCATATAACCATACTCCGTACATCAACTTATCACACAGTTCAACCTCTCAACAGCGTCACCACGTAAATAATGTGAGACATCTCGTATCGTTAAGCGAGACCTGGCGCCTCCACTTTCTTCTATTTTGTTCTGGAATCCTTCCCGAAGCCTTCTAGCGCCCCTTCCGATCCTCCTGGAGGAAGTTGTTTGGCGGACGACGATGGAAACTCCGAAATCCAACTAGTACAATTTATGTAGATTAAGTCGACCATGGTACGATCTGGTTTCACCGTTCGATATTCTATTTCGGATATTGTTCCCTTCTCTTCCAGAAGCATTATGGAATGACGATGTCGTTCTGACCAATGGACGACTGGAATCCGGCAGGCTCAGTGTCGTGTCCAGTGTCCACTCGGGAAACTTGGCAGCGATATCTACACCATACTACGGTACACCGCTACGAGAAGAAACAACGGTTCAGGGGCAAGACCAAGGCTTTGGCGATGCGACAGCGAAGCAGAATCTGCGATATCCACCGATGCTGACCTGTCACTTGGGGAGGAGTCCGCTATTCACAGTGTAACTTTGTAAGGTACCCGAATGGTAAACAGAAGTCAAGAACCGGAGCTATCTTGCAATGTATCAGGGTCAAAAGGCTCGCCAACACAAGCAAGCCAATGACTACAGTGGTTTCGTCCGTAAACAATGGGCAGCTGGTAGTGCTCCTTAAGCTTGCAAGGGCTACAGATGAACGCGTTGATGGAGTCCTCAGAAGGAGATACTCCTGCTTCTTCAAATGCCCACTTCTCCTTACAACTTGGTATAGTAGTATAGCAGAATCCGGTAATAATCAGATGAAAGTTCTTTCTAGTTCTACGGAGTCGTTCCTACAGTAAGCATACTTATCATAAATGATATCTCCAATTCCCAGAGATCACCTGTCAACTCTATTAGGCAACAAGCTCGCAAACTCAATGCTAAACCTTCGTCGAACCACGTGGTTATCATAGTTTTTCTTTTCTTTTCTTTTCTTTTTTTTAACTTTCCGTTCCTCGCTGTCCTGTGTAGGCTGTGTACGATTTTCTTTGGATTCCAGTGTCCACTTCCTTGCCGTTTTTATTCCCCACAACGTCGTAGTAACTAGTTCATTTTAAGGTAGGTAGAGGATTGTTAGCAGGCATCACGCCATCACCTACTGACTGTATTGAAGGAGCCCCAAATCCAAGGCAAATTCCAGGACCCGCAAGCCCACAGTCTCACCCGCCGCCGTAACGACGAACTTACAAACCAGCCCCATCTGCCCCACCAGTTGGTCGAAGTTACAGTCATTCGTAACCGCTCTTACATGTGGGGTCTTTTTGTTTCATGTTTTCATACTTGGTACAGAGACCTTGGGATGCCAGACCCGTTGATTTCTGAAATCTTGATTGACTGCTCGCCTGTTGTATGCATGATGCTGGAATAGGTACATTGTAATGTCATTACGGCTAAGTCGGTCATTCTACATCAACGAACATTTGCTTTCCGAGCACTAAAAGTTGTCGAGGTTAAGCTGCATTATGACGATACGATGGTTGTACGAAAGGGTCAGGAAGTTAGCTTCCTCTTTGGACTGAATGTGCAGCAACGCTGCAAGTAGAAAGTAAATAGTGCTCATCTATTGCCATGCGAGACCCCTGAGCTTAAGTTTCCATGTATCCATGCCATGCTCTCAAACGACGTTGGCTTCGGGAGGCTGCATATGCTGCACTGGAGACAGCGTTCTGTGTGGACGGCGAAGTGGTGTCACTGCAGGAGCATGGGCACATTGATCAGGAGTCTGACCTTCTAGACCTGTTTGACTTTGTCTAGAACATGTCCCTTGCCGATAACTGGCTTGATTTGGATGATCTTCCTGCAAGGCTGCCAATATGCACTTAGAAACCCATTGTTG